TCCATTACTCCACCCCAGCCCCCCCCCCGCATCTGTCTGAATTAAAAGAGGAAAGCGCGAGGCTGAAAACAACACATTTAAAGTAATGGTCTTCTATAGCAACAGGGAAGGAAAGAAGGATGTGAGTAGCAAGAGTTCAAAGAGAAAGTTTCTCAATGCAGTTGAAGAAGTAACGTGTAGCTCTGTAGCAGTCAGCACTAAGCTACACGCTCCTGCGAGCTATTGAAAGTCATTAGACATCATTAACATCATTAGGCACCGTGAACACGGCCCTGCTTGCCCGAGGTTGCAGGGAGGCTGCAGCACCCTGATGCAGGCAGCCCTGCTGCCCGCATGGGACTGGTGAAATGATTCCATAGAAAGCTGGGCAGTCTCCGTAGCAGTGATGGTTGGACAGTAGGTTTCCAGGTAAGCAAGGATCAGGATGTGTGTGCGGGGTTTACTTGTTTGGGGGTCTCTGTTGGTGATGCCTGACTCTATTTCGGCTCTAGAACAAAATGAGAATCCTTTAGGAGACTTAGATACAGGTGAATGTTCCTCCTCAGCTGGGGAAGCCGGCTGGATACAAAACACAGGCTTCAGAGTATCTCTACAGAGTGGGGTGAAATTGAACATAAGGAAGATACTGAATGAACATATTTTTAGTGTCCTGGTGGTTAGTATCAGAATATATTAGCACTTTAAAATCCCAATAGAAATCTATGGAATAGGGAAACAGGGAGAATTCTTACTACAGTTCATCATTTATCATGCTGGTTTTGATTTTGTCTGAGTACTAGCAACTGCCCTTAATGCTTTGAAGTTTTCTTGTTACGTCACTAGACTTTCAGACTTAGCTGACTGAAGTGGAATAGAATAATTTCATATGTAATGGGGTACACTTGCCTGGCGTGGATTTCAAAAAATTAGCAGAAGTTAAAAGAATATTCTTAGACCGTAATAGTTCTCTTTGATAGTAAAAAATTGGTATATTGTATTCACGGGCCAGTAAAATTACTTATGAACTCTTTGTTGATTTCAGAGTAATGTTAATAAGAAAAATAACAGTAGCTTCTACTCTCAGCTGTGTCCATGTAGAGATTGCTTCTCTGTTTATAATTAGCAGTGTCATCTGTGAGGTGTAAGTAGTCAAATTTGTGTTTGGGTGCATCAATCTCTGATCTTGACATTAACTTTTAATATTACTTACTTTCATTTGTGACTGTTGTCCTGGAGTGGTGTTCTGTTGATGTCAGAAAAGGTTCTGTTATAATTTAATAAACCTACTGACCATTAGACTTAAGTTTCAGATGAATATTTAAATCTATTTTTCCCAAGTGATTTGACAACTTTTAAGGACATGGCGAGTCTGTTACTGTTTTTGCAGAAAATCTGGAAATTGTACTGTAACTCCCAATCAAAAATTCTGCTGTTCTGAACCTGAAGTTATTCATGGGTGTACCAAAGTAATTAGGTAATGCTACAAAGGTACTGTTCAAATTCCTAAGAAATTATTTATGTCTCGATTGAGAGTAAAAAGTACTAAATTAACAGACAGAATTGTGCAAGAAAAGAAGATGGATTAGTTTGCTGAGGAGTTTTGTTGCCCTTTAATAGGTCAAATGCTATTTATATATGTTTTGGGGAAAATTTACAAATAAAACTAAAATTTCTTCCATAACTATAACTATAACTTCGTACAGAAGAATAGTTACATTCTGAATGGACTTCCCAGTGTTTTAATAACAAATATTTAATACTAACACATCTGAAAACTTTGATCTTTGTGTATCTTGGTTCTTGGTAATGCTCCCTTAGAAAGTGAAGAGCAGGTTTACAGTATGAACTGCAAATGGAATGTAAAATATTCCTAAAATACTCCATTTATATGTGTGTGCTAGGTAAGGCATTTCGATTTTATAGCATTTCAGATATGTTTTTACAAATGCAAAAATCAAGGCAGGTGAAATAGAAAGCAGAGAATCATTACAGACATGAATAAGTGGACTATTTGAGGTATATGTAGGTTAAGATGAAGAAGGAAAAAGCATTGGCTCTGAAAACAGATTTGCTCTGGATTTTTTCTGTTTAACTTTCCAATGAGTTATCTAGCTTATGATTTAGCACACTGGAAAAAAAATTAAATGATCAAACAGCAAATTATAATTTCTACAATGTTGACACAAGGAATCTAGTTTAGTATTTTACTGCGCATACCAAATTATCCAGGACTGCAAAAGCTGGCAATCTATGTACATGGCAAGTAGAAATTTAAAATACATGCTTTTGTCCTTAGGAAGATAAATTTTGAAATAATTAATTGAATAATAAGACTTGTACTAAACCCACGTGGGTTTGTAGGCCTCTCAGCATGGCAGTAGCAGTCTGATACACTTAGCAAACAGTCTGTCAGATGATGTGTCTTTGAACTAAAACCAGCTGTCTCCAATAAAGAAACAGAAAAAACACAGGCAAGTTCCTGTGGGGCAGTTCACTGGGAGGTAGAGTTGACATCATTTATTTCCTATACTCAGGAAATAACCCTATCAATAGCTCCTGTTGTGAAATGTTTTTGATGTCTGACAGTTGGTTTCTAATACCACATCACATGAGCAAGTCAGATGTAATCTCAGACATTGTCAATGAGAAAAAGGAATCAATTATGGAATAGTGGCTGCTTGCTGGAAGGAAAGAATTGTCAGTATGCTTTCTGTAGACTCGATATGCTGGAAACTATCTTGAGTTACATCTGGATTTTCAGATACCCAACCAAAGCAGATAACTGTATCTAACCACTGTGAATTTCAGGTTGCTGTTCCAAATGAGTAAATGGCCCTTATTTTAAGCCAAAGTAGTGTCATAAACAAACCCATCATAAACTATGATTTTAAGATTTCAAGGCACAAAACATTGCATCTGGATTTACAGCTGCTGAGAGTGCTCAAATAATCAAAATAATATTCATTTATGTTTCCTCACCATTATACTGATGAAGTTATTTCTTGACATCCCTGGCATATCATGGGAAACATCAGAGGTATTTTTTGTGGATCACTTTTGTTCTGAATTCTGTGTATTAAAAATTCTCAGCCATCAAAGTCTATTAGAAATTTTGACTATTTGCATAGACAACACCTTTCCCGATGGAAGCAGTGGCCATGCTGCAAGGTAAAAATTTTACTTCTGAGCTTCATCTGTAATGTACCAAATTACAGTCTTGTTCATAGTGTGTTGGGTTTGTCTTCACAGTAAAGTTGTTGTTACTTTTTGTGTAATTTGATTTGCAGGGAAGTGGTTTGTGGATTTGTGATAAAAGTGTCCTGAGCATAATTAGATTAGTTAGAGCAGAGGTGTATGACTTTTATTACTTAACTTCTGATAAAGATGCTATTTCCCAGAATGGATTACTTCCCAATATTTTGGGTGAATGAGCCAGTGTGTTCTAAATGGTCACTGCTGTTTGCCTAGTGAACATAGGTCAAACCTCTATTTTGCTGTTTGGATCAAACCCATCTTATATATTGGTATTCTGAACATAAAGTATTGAGGGTAAAGATCATAATAAAATTTTTAAAGCTGAAAATGAAAACTTGGAGCAGCAGATGGAGTGTTTAGAAGGTAAATCCTAATTTAGAGTGTTGTAGTATTTTAGCTTGTCTTACAAAATTTCTGTCAGTAATATTCTTTAAGGTGCATTTTGCTTCCACAAGTTTAAAAAAAAGGGTTTTTAAGAAGTGTGATTTTTTTTTTTTTTTTTTTACTGTAGTGATTGGTAAGTGCCACTAGCACAACTATTTCATCCTGACTCTAAGTCAGAAATGGACAGTAGTAGTTCAAAACACTACTCCAGACATGGGAAAAAAGGAACAAACGTCATTATGTGGTACAGATCTGAATTTGAGAAAAACCATCTGGTGAAGACAGATTTTCACCAGATACAAAATTTAGTTGGCAAAAATAGTCAAATTTCTAATTCAACTGGCAAATTAATCAGTTTTTCCCAGAATATTTTCCATTTGTATTTTACATCTTTTTTTCTAGAATGAAACAGTATATTCATACAGTAACAGCCTGGCTAATCTAAAAAATTTTTATCAGCATTAAAGCTCATTATTATATATTAGCAGTTATTTAATTACTTATGCTTATTATTGCAATTAAATCTTACTATTTGAAAGAAATTAAGAGCACACTAATTATAAAGTGTGAACACTAAATCTAAACTATAACTACTATAACTGAAGGGAAAAGCTCTTTATTTTCTGCTTGTTAGTCCATTATTTTCTACTTGTTTTACGCAGAACTTTTCAGTAATTTTAAAATAGTGTAAATTATTGAGTGAATTTAATCACTATTAAAAAAAATCTGTTCATATAAACAGTGTAATAGGTGCTTCACTGTTGTTTACCAGATTGTGTTCCTTGTGCATTCATTTGCTTATAAAGCCTTACCCTGAAACTGAGACTGTTGATGTGATTTAAATGTGAGCTTAGTGAGGAGGTCAGGTGCAGCTGTGTTGTGAAGTCGGTGTCTGACAAACAACCCAGAAAGCAAAGTCCTCGCTCTGCAAAGCACCTCGGCAGCACAGCCTTCCCCTTCAGTTGTGCCAGGTCCCTCCATGGCGTGCTGGGGAATTCCATCCAGGCTTCAGGGAGTCCTTCGGGGTGACCCTGAGCAGCTGCACCCGCTTGCATAGCAAAAGCCGTCGGCTGCATTCCCATTGAAAGGCACAGGATGGACAGCACGTTCAAACTGGGAGGGAGTGGGAGGGATCCTCTGCCTCCTGCTGAGGAACTGCTGGTGCTCCTGCCTCCTTGATCTGGACAGATATTTCCTGCAGTAGTGTTGGCACCAGAGAATATAAGATGACTTAAACCTGAAATATTATGACAAAATTTTACTCATTCTTAAACTTTAAAAGTTAATAAACTAAATATATATATATAATATAGAATTATAAACTTAATCTGTAACTAAAATGGATGAAAAATGCCTTCTAATTTATTTTTTTTCTCTTGCAGATGACAGTCATGTCCCATTCAAAGGATCTCAAGGACGACTTCCACAGTGACACTGTACTTTCCATTTTAAATGAACAGCGCATTCGGGGTATTTTATGTGATGTCACCATAATCGTGGAAGACACCAAATTTAAAGCCCATAGTAATGTGCTGGCAGCTTCAAGCCTTTACTTTAAAAACATTTTTTGGAGTCGTACTATCTGTATTTCAGGTCATGTACTGGAGTTAGATGATCTCAAAGCTGAAGTGTTTACAGAGATACTGAATTACATCTACAGTTCCACAGTAGTTGTTAAGAGGCAGGAAACTGTAACGGACCTTGCAGCTGCAGGGAAAAAACTGGGAATATCATTCCTAGAAGATCTTACAGATGTGAATTTTTCAAGTTCCCCCTGTCCCTATTCATACTGTGTTAATGAAAAAGGGGCTGTCAAAGAGGAAAAACACGAAAAGCGACATGAAGATTCTGCTGTGACAAATGGACCACGAATTACAAATGCATTCTCAATTTTTGAAACAGAAAACAATTTGTTTTCTCCCCTTGATTTGAGAGCCAGCTTTAAAAAGGTATCTGAGACAATACAAGCTCCCAGCATTGGCCTCGACAGAAGTGACGTGTGCAAAGATGCTGAGCCAGCCAGTACCTTGGCTGAACACTCCTATGCAGTTTCTTCTGGGGGAGATACTTCACAAGGAGCACCTTTTGTTGACCAGGAGAGCAGCCCTTCATACCAGGTGAGTGAGGACCGCTATGAAAATCACCAAGCCACTCCAGTCATTCAGCAGGGAAAACAAGCAGGTAGTACTCCTAAGTCAGCCTTTAAGCCCCAGGGTACTGGTTTGGCTGTAGCAAAAGTACCAGCCTCTACTGTAACCACTGCAGAAGCCCGGCACGAAGCAGTTACTGAGCAGACAATTACTTCCTTTCCAAAATCTCAGAATAAAGCAGGAGATTTGCATGTATCCAGAGAAGAGGAAAACACTTCTGCTAATGTCTCTACATCTGGGGCGACTGTCAGTCCACCTGTTTACAGTTGTAACTGTTGTGCAAAATCATTCAATGACCGGGTGTTACTCACTGCTCACCTTCAGCTCCATTCAGAGCATCAGGAAAATTTCATATGCAAATACTGCAGCAAACAATTTGCCAATCTAAAGGTACTGGAAAGTCACGAACAAGTCTGCATGAGATCCAGTAACTTATCGGCTCAAAATGGAAATGAACAAAATTTTGCAGATAACTGTACTGCTACAGAGGGACAGAATGGAAGTTCCTGTGCGAACACAGAGCCTGTGTTGTCTGAAAACAACATCACTGATTGTTCTAATGCAAACTGCACTTTACCAGAAACTGATCACTTGGTTAAAGTCGTTGATGGGCAGGTATTATACACTTGTGTTGTTTGCAAGCGTAGTTATGTCACATTGTCCAGCCTTCGAAGACATGCAAACGTGCATTCCTGGAGAAGAACATACCCTTGTCACTACTGCAATAAAGTCTTTGCATTAGCCGAGTACCGCACCAGACATGAGATCTGGCACACTGGAGAGAGGCGCTACCAGTGCATTTTCTGTCTGGAGACCTTCATGACTTACTATATACTGAAAAACCACCAGAAGTCTTTCCATGCAATTGACCATCGCCTGTCAGTAAATAAAAAGACAGCCAATGGGGGTTTAAAACCAAGTATGTACCCATACAAACTGTATCGACTCTTACCTATGAAATGCAGGCGACTGCCTTATAAATCCTATCGAAATTCTTCCTATGAAAATGTTCCAACAAGTACCCAGGCTAATGAAACTGCTTCTACTAACTGTTTCATTCCGAGTTCTCTTAGCTCTGAGCTACCACCGCTGAATTTTCAACATGGTATAATGTCAAACAACAGACCTCTGGCCTTGGATACATCTGCATGTAATGAAACAGCATCTTCCACAAATACTCAGAATTCTTCCTCTTGGGGAGTAGGTATCTTAAATTCTGACCTGCAGAGGGACTTTTTCCCAGCAGAAAAAAGAGTTTCCACTGCTGCAAATGACTCAGGTGATTCCTCGGTTGTGTCTTCAGCTAATGCGAATGAAAATTCAACCTCTGTCATCAGTTACAGCAGTTCTGCACCTTCTGTTATAATGCACAGTAGCAGAGTTTCGTCAGTAATAATGCACAGTAAAACAGTCACTTCCATAGAAAACAGTAAGACAGAATCTTCAAATAATCTACCCAGTCAGTCAGTAAGTGATGACTGTAAGTATGGGTCAGATAATTATGGGAAGTGCATTACAAAATCAAAAACTATTAAGGACAAAAAGAAAACACTGCTGTACAACAGAGCAGAAGCAACTGATGATATGCAGCATTTGACAGGATCTGGAGGTTCATGTAGCAAAACTACAAATACTGTCCAAGAGTCCAGTAAAACTGAAACATACATTGCAAAACCTGCCTTACCTGGAACATCTGCTGACAGCAACGTCGCACCTCTTTGTCAGATAACAGTAAAAATTGGTAATGAAGCTATTGTAAAAAGACATATATTAGGATCCAAGTTGTTTTGTAAAAGGGGCCGAAAATCCAAACACGAGTCCAAACAGGACAATCTCATTGAAGAACCAGAAATGGAGGTGAAAGATAAAAGCCCATCTCGACTGTACAGCTCAGAATGCCTGGAGATGACAGAAATGTGTGATGATGTTAGCGACCAGGACTCCAGTGATAAACCCTGGAGACCTTACTATAATTACAAACCAAAAAAGAAATCCAAACAGCTAAGGAAAATGAAAAAGACCAAGTGGAGAAAAAAGCACGGAAGCAAGAACACCGGTATGGAAGGCCACACCCCATGCAGTCGAGAGTATGCACTCAGGAATGCTCCTGAGGAAAAGGTGGTCAGCCAGGAGGAGAACTCAGAAATGCCTAATCTTCATTGTGAGCTCTGTGAAAGAGACCAGTCTTCCACAGGAGAAGCTCAAGAACATGTACACTGGCATGTAGCTGCTTCAAAGCCTTACATTTGTGAGTTATGCCAAAAACAGTTTCAAAGTCCATCCACTTTAAAAATGCATATGAGGTGTCACACCGGGGAAAAGCCCTACACTTGCAAAACCTGTGGTAAGTGTTTCTCACTTCCTGGAAATCTACAGAAACATGAACGTATTCACCTGGGTGTCAAAGATTTTGTCTGCCAATACTGTAATAAGGCATTCACTTTAAATGAAACACTCAAAATACATGAAAGAATTCATACTGGAGAAAAACGCTACCACTGTCAGTTTTGCTTTCAGAGTTTCTTGTATCTTTCTACCAAAAGGAACCATGAGCAAAGGCATGTACGTGAACATAATGGAAAAGGATATGCTTGCTTTCAGTGCCCCAAAATTTGCAAGACTGCAGCTGCTCTGGGAATGCACCAGAAGAAACATCTATTCAAAAGTCCAGGTGCACAAGATAGAAAAGAACAGTTTTGCAATGAAAGCACTAAACTTCTGGAAAATCCACATTTCCTTGGCTCAGAAGGAACTGAAATGAAAAATACACAAAATGTAACTCCAGAAGTGATACACTGAGTGAAAACTGTGCAAAAGAGAAGAAAAATCTAAAACTACATGTTGGAGAAGATAAAGATGTATTGAATGAGGAAACGTATCAGTAAGGTCCAATTTCTTCATCTAAATGTGTGTCAATATATGCAAAAGAAAAACACAATACAGTAAAACTAGTATTTGCAATAATACAGATTTAATTTGGAACACCCCAAATACTTTTGCCACAACAAACTCTGGCAGAGAGAGAAAGAAAAATTACCAACCCCAACGCTTCTACTTAACATTACAAAAAACTAGTCACTGAACTGTTTTGCAGTTTTGGTTTTGAGTCAGAATCATTTGAAGCAAAAGAAATAAGTAGGTTCATGGTGTATTCTGTAGAAGGAATTTTTGGTGCAGAAACCATATATTGCATTTTTTTAAACAAAAGTAATGTGTTTATAAAGGAAATAATTGTAATCTTGTGTGTTCTAAAGTGAAGGTGGGAATTGTTTCATGGGCTTGGGCGTGCTGAAGTACATTTGAGTTCTGCCATGCTTTTCTGTAACTCAGCCTTTACAAAACATATTCAGGAGTTTAAACCACTCTTTTTCCTTTCCATATTCAATTTTGTAGTTACCATAATAACTGATAAGTCTGAGTGCTGGTATAAGAAGTATTCCAGATTTATATATCTCTGAGACATTTAATAAAGGTTCAGTGGAACTTGCTATAGCCAGTCTTCCAAACTGCATAAATTCCCATGTCAGTGGCCTAGTGACCTCTTCAGGTGCATTGGTCTAAAGAAAATCGTTCTCACGAAACAGAAATCCTGTATAGAAATGCCCACCTCCTGGTGGGTCTACAACTCTTGTTTTTTAGAAATACAGTTCTTCTCAACAGAAGGACATACAGACAGAATTTTTATTCCTCATCCTGGAATAATGCCTGGACACAATAGAACAATTCCCTGGAAATACTTTGATTTTGAGAGGAGTAGGTAAAGAAGATTCTATATCTATCCCTGAGGCTATCCCTGTGCGTAAACAGGTACAGGGCCAGTTTGTGGGATTCCCTGTCGTCTCCATGCCCTTAAATGCAACATTTAGTCTTCAGATGTCCCTGCTCAGTGATCCCATCAACCATTCCAGCAGTATTCCATGGCCACAGCAGAGACAGGCCAGGAGTGGGCTGCTGGAGGAAGGAGTGTCTGCCTTCCTGCATCCTTCATCCTGCCACACCAAAGGGTTATGGTGAGCCTTGCAGCTGCACAGTTCACTATGAACTGGGAGAAGAGGCTTCTGAAAGACAGCACCAAAATATCCCAGTTAATACTGTTTTGTGGAAGTTTGATTCATTTTAACTGAGATGCTTAAAAAAGTTCAAGTAGGCATATGTCAGCAAATTGCATTTTATAGGATAGGGCTCTGTTGTACCATATCTGCATTTCCAATAGTCATGTATGTTCATCCCTGTGAAGTGTTAAAAAATTAACTCATGACAAGGGTTAGTGATTCTCGACTTCATTCTCCATGATGGTTCACAATTTGTTACTTAACTTCGTCTTCTTGAATATTTTCAAAGAAACTATAGCTTGGGTACAATAAAACTACAATTGAAATTATAATACAGTATTGATTGAAGTAATAATACAGTCCACTTACTTATTCTATCACTGGTGAATGCTATGAACCCTTTGAGAAATTCTGGTTTCATGGCAGCTTTGGTTCCATTTAAATAAGGATAGTAGAATAATAAACACAGGAAAGTGAAATTATGTTTCTTCAAAGAAAGTGCACAAAGATATCTTCTAAGTGGACTTGTATGGTGATAAATATAGACCAAAGCAAATAAGGTAGAATATTTATAAATACAAAGATAATTTTACAAATATTTTATATAACTGTATAGTTCATAAGAAGAATATTGTTAGCTTGTGTTAGGTTTGGGGGGGGTTTGTATATTTTGATAACACAACGACTTTGTAACTCTGTATATTCTCTACAGTTTATAGCAAAGCAGTTTTAAGATGGCAATGTCATGTTTATAGTTCAATTGTGGCACTTTTACTACAAGTAACATGTTGCAGTAATGAATCAAATATTAATGACCAAATTAGAATTAAAGTAAGTGTAAGAGAAGGTAAATACTATACGTTGTCAAAGACTGTAATTTGCTACATAATCGCATCTGTATTTTTGTTTAGAAGAAAATATTAAATGCAGATGTTAAGGATTGATAAAGAGTCTAATTTTATTTTTAGAGTGATTATAACTCTGTTTTTGCTTAATTAAAATAACATATTCCTATTTTTCTCTAAGTCTCTCAATTTTTTAAATTGTGTTAATATTTACATAATCTATGTGATTCACAGATGTGTATCTTCTAATAGTTGTTTCAGTGGAAGATTAAGCAACACAGTAACCAAGTAGTTCCTTCATTGAGGTCAGAACAGTGAATGGAGAACATGCCAGAGCTCAAGGGAAGTGATGGTATCTCCTGGCATCATACAGGGTGAATGCAGTACAGAACAGAATCTACCTGCTCAGTGTTTCAGAGGGCTGGAAACACAGGTGAACTGTGTTTACTACTTCGTAACATCTTTAACGTGTTCATGAGGACCTGAAACTTGAAAAATTCTTTTCAATTCTGCTAGTAACTTTATAGATTATGTATTTTACACACACTACTTTTTTGGGCTTCTGTCAAGAAATATAGTTTAAAGTGCAAATATCTAATTACATATGAAAATATGAAGATACATACAAAATAGAAGACCATGCATATTCAAAGTACTTCCCCTTTCAGCTAGGTGTCACTCGTCTGTAACCTTCATTAAAAAGCAAACATTATGCACGTCATTTTGAGATGGTTGTCAGGAAAGATATATAAGTAAAAAAATTTAGAAGTTTGTTAATTGCAATAAATACTTTTTTTTCTCTATTTGAAATGCTAATTAAAAAGACAAGTAGATTATCATGAAGTTTGTGCATCTAAACATAATGTTAGTCAGTCCTCATTTATGATACACCCAAAGTTAGATCAAATGTAGTAAATGATATTGCTGTCTTCTGTGGAATGAGATTGCATGACAGCTGAACAACAGGCAGAAGCATTTGAAGTAAGCCCCTATGTGTTATCATTACTATTATTTGTTCTGAACTTCCTTAACACTCCAGGTATCACTGACAGTTCAGCACCTTGGCTGTGAGGCTCTCTCACAAGAAGCAAAGTTCCCCCACTGTACATCCCCATTGTTAAATGAAGAAATCTTACCCCAGAGTTTGCAACTCAGCACACCAGTGTTTGTTTTAACTATGTCCTTAGCTGTGCAGACCTACCTGTCATACAGGTATACTCCTAAAATGTAACTTTAAAAGAGGCCAAAAATTAATGTTATGCAATTGAAACAATATTCTGAATATTGAATGTTAAACTAAAGCAAAACTTTTTAAAAAATAAAACTGTGTCAGGAATCAGACAGTGGCAAAACTTGGTAATGTAGGTCAGTGCTTTAAAGAAAGCTGATGCTAAGTTGAAACAGTAACCCCCAGCTGTAGTCATAAGGTTTGACAGAACATGGAGGCAGTAGAGTCACTCTGCCTTCCAAAGTGTGGCAATGAGCAGTTCAAGCACACATCTCCATTCTCAGGGTGCTGCCTTGCTGCTTTCCCAGATCAAAGCTCTGGCTCTGCCCAGGTGAATCTCAGTTCACCAGCCACCAGCCAGACAGGGCAGCCAGCCTAGACAGCCAACTGTAGATAATCAAATCCTCAATTTGTGCTGTAGAGGAACCTCTCATTTCCAACAGGTTAAAATTTAGCTTATGCAAACTCATGTCTTTGTCAGGTTTAGGTTTTGCATTCACACAAATCCACCTGTTACTGGTGTGAGGAAACAGTTTATACCCCACCACTAGCCTGCTTGCCTTGAAACACACATCTGTCCTTCTTCAGCCACGTTGTAGAGTGTGGAAACAAGGAAGGAATGTCACCGCTACCGAAGAAGCAGTGGGGGAGAATTTGGATGCAGGAAAAGCCATCAAGAAATGATGACAGCTTATATGGCTCCATACCATACCATAGTGATGATGGCATGATTTGTGCAGGAGAAAAAAATGGCCAGAGCACCACAGCAGGGGACTAAAGTTAGAGACAATGACACATGCTGGCCTGTAACTTTCCAAACTTCCCTTTAACAGCAGGACAGACTGAAGAGGGCCTTTATGTGTAGAGTGAAGAATCCTAGTCCTACACGGCTTCCTGAGACAGCTTTAGCCAGCTGAACTACCTGTGTTTTAGGATATGTCAGTCACTAAAGGCTCTCACCAGACTCTGTGCCTACAGGATCTGGGAACAGATGTACTCTCAGTTTGAGCCAGAGTGACAAGGACGCAGCCGTGTCACCTGAGCTGATGGCTGGGTGGATTGTGTAGGCCCAAGACAGACACCCACCACCAGTGCAGGACTGGGGGGAAGTCCGGGTGTAAGCCAGATTCCAGAGTTTCACATTAGGATCGGTGTCTTCAAGAATCCATGGTAGAAAACGTGATGCAAAGGCCCTTCAGTTCTTCATGAAGGCGAGCTGCTGCAGTCTGCAAACAGCTCTGGGCCCTGTGTGACTCCTGAGGGAAGCATTGCCTCTGGCATTCTGCAGGCAGCGCGACATCTGCTCCTGGGGCAGTGCTGGCAGCCGAGCCATTTCCTACTTGTTTCATGGCATTTCTCACATGGCCGAACAGGTCAATGTGAACTAGTGTCAGCAGAGGAGATCCATAGGAGCCCGTGCCGTGCTTTGCACAGGGACAGGCACTTGGCACACCACAGACCAAATTGGCCAGACCTGCCGTCGTTCCATTTCATGTGCCCGCCTGCCATTTAATGTGACCAATCTCAGCATAGAGTACGCATTGTTCAACGCGCCGAGGGCTGCCGAGCCCTCTGCCCGGCTGGGAGGCACAGAACCACATAACCAATTAGGTTGGAAAAGACCTCTGAGATCATTGAGTCCAACCTACGACCCACCATCACCTCGTCAACCAGACCCTGGCCGTGAGTGCCACGTCCAGTCTATCTTTAAACACCTCCAGGGACTGTGACTCCACCACCTCCCTGGGCAGCCCATTCCCTGTCTAATCACCCCTTCTGTGAAGAATTTCATCCTAATGTCTAACCTAAACCTCCCCTGGTGCAGCTTAAGGCTATGTCCTGTCTTCCTGACTCTAGAACAGTGGAAGGGACGGTCAGGGCAAGCTCTGGGACCGGCCGAGTCCCCCGACGCCCAGAGCAGCGGAGCCCCAGGCCGGCGGGAGCGGGAGGTGCCGGGCCGCGAGCGGAGCCGCCTCACGGCCAGCGCAGGAGCCGCCCCAGCGCAGGCGCCGGGCCCCCCGCCCGCCCCGGCCGGTGGTGCCCGCGGGCTGCGGGGGCGGGGCGGGCGGCGGAGCCGGGCCGGGCCGCTCCTTTCCTCCCTCCCTCCCTGCCCCCGCGGCGCGGCACTGCGCAGGCGGCGGCGGCGCTGGCGCGATGGCGGCGGGAGACGGTGGCGACGAGGTGCGGGTGCTGCAGAACCTGCGGGGGAAGATATGTAAGTGCGGCGCTGCGGTGGGGCCGAGCGCCCGGGGCCGCCGCGCTCAGGTGTCGCTCCTACCCCGTCTCCTGGCCCGGCCCCGCTGCTGCCGCTCCCTCCCCGCGGCGAGACGGGCGGGCGCTGGAGCGGCGGCCCTGGAGGCGGCGGGGCGGGGGCGGGAGGGCGCGGAGGGGCCGCGGCTGCCGCGGGCTGGGTGCGGGTCGGGCCGCGCTGCGCTGTGGCGGCCCCGCAGAGGGGCTTTGTGGCGGCAGCGACGACACGTGCGGGGCTGGGCCGGGGTCTGCGCGCCCCGGAGCGGGAGGGGGCGGGATGGGTGGGTGGGTGGGTGAGCGGGTGAATGGATGGATGGCTGGATGGATACATGGACACGGCGGGGCCGCGGGAGGCCCGGAGTGGCGGGGATGCATCCGTGGCTCCGAGGGATCCCTGGAGTCAGCGGGCGAACAGAAATGCCCCCTCCCGCCCGGACCTCGGGCATCAGAATCTGTTTGTCAGGCTGAAATTGCGAAATTAGCGATGTGCAGGAAGTTGGTGGTGAAGGGCTGTTCTGGAAGCGGTCACCAGCACTCCCGTGCCTCTGTGCAGCGTGTGTGCGAGCGGGCGGAGGCGGAGAGAGAGGCCGGTGGCCTTATTTTGGTGTTTGGGAAGTGCTGAGTGCCTGTACCGATAGCCTCGGTAACGTGGGGAGCCGGCGGATGAGCTGGGAGGAGGGCTCGGGGAGGTGCACGGATAGTGCGGTACTGCTGGGGAGCACTTCAAAGCGAATGGGAGAAACAGGATGTTCGGCGGCTTCCTGAGGGGTATCGGAGTACATTCATACCGCTCGGACGCGGCCCGGTTGTTTCCTTTCTCACGCTGCCGATCGACTTTTTTGAGAATGAAACGAAACAAGTTGAATCGGGCATGGCTCTGGGGTTGAGAACCGGTTGTGAAAACATGTTGAAGGATTAGGTTTGGTGGAGGAGTGGAGTCGTGTTTACTTAAATATCGTCATGCTGCCTAGATGTATTTACTGTGTCTTCAGTAAATAGAAGACTGGCTCATGAAAACAGGAGATGGCCTGGAGTGGAGCTGGAGGTGCTCTCACTCCGAGGTGTGAGCCATAGGACGTGGTTGGGTAGGTAAGGCTGAACATACACTGAGATCTGGTGCTGTTAGCAATTAGCAGACAGTACAGGCCAGCTAGCCTTTTCAAAAGCATACTGTTAGTTTTGGGGTTAAAGCATGAATTCATAGAATCATAGGGTTATGAAATGGTTTGTTTTGGAAAGGACCTTAAATATCATCTCATTGCAATGCTGTGGCCATGGGCAGGGACACCTTCTGCCCTCTCAGAGCTCCATCCATCCTGGTCTTGAGCACTTCCAGGGGTTTCCACAGCTTGTCTGGGCAACTTGTGCCAGCGCCTCACCACCCTCAGAGTAAAGAATTTCTTCGATATATTTAAACTGAATTTCCACTCTTTCAGTTTGTTCCCATTACTCCTCATCCTGTCACTGCAGTTCCTGATGAAGGGTCCCTCTCCGGCTTCCCCCATGAGATATTGGAAGGTTGCTGTGAGGTCTTCACACAACCTTCTCCAGGCTGAGCAGCCCCACCTTTCTTAATCTGTCTTCAGTAATCTCTAGCAACCAACGCTTTATGTATTCCCTAGGAAGCAGGTCATAGTACTCCCTAGGAAGAAGGACTATGACCTGCTTCCTAGAAGTTGAGAAGTTGGTTG